AATTATGTGCGTTCAAAACAAATCGTTTTTTACATTGGCAGTTATGTTTGAATAAATAGTTTTATTTGAATGGACATTTATGCTTGAACAAACAGAAAATTTAGATAGATAGTTATATCTATTAAAATAAACATATATTTAATTAAGTTATAAATACTCTTGTGATTTCTTTGGAAAGTATATAGAATAAAAATATCAGAACACTCAATATTTCTTTAAATAATTCCTAGATTTTTTTATAACTATTTGCTGTAGATTTTTTATAACAGTTCGTTAATCTTGTTATACATTGGTGAATGTTTAGTGGATTAATTTCAAAATGCAATCAACTGTTAGGTTTCGTTATACTCTTAAGGTTTGTTATCTGTAACTTTTTCAACACATATTAAGTAAATAATACAATGAAAACAAATAAAACATTAAGGCAACTTCGCACTATTATATGTCTTAAAGTCTTTCCTCAATTTTGAAGAAAATTATTTCATATTTTTTAAATACTATTTTGACAATCTTAAGGCTTTAATGGTTCAACAATGGCTATTGAAGGTAAAACGTTAAGGTAATTGGTTTCTAATTTTGTTAAATTGGATTGTTTTGATGGCGGTGATTTTCGAAAATATCAAAAGAAAATGTATTTCTTATTTTCAACCTTAAAGGTTGTATATGCTCTAACAACTCTCATGCAAGAAAAAAAATAAAATAAAATATGTTCTTGCAACTAGAGAGGCAGAAATGAGACAATGCAAATTACATGTGTAAAAATTATATTTTGAATGGTTTGTCAAATAGTTTATTTGATACATACCAAAACTAGACTACTATAAATGAATTAAGGACAAATTAGAGAGTAGTATATGATTGATGATACAACAAGTAAAAATTTTCTCAATGATCGTTTCAATAACTATCAAATAATTGATGGTCAAGCTGTTATTGAACAATTGCGTAAAATTGAAAATGCTTAATTAATTTAAATAGTATAATATAAACATGGATTAAATAATTATTGTGTCATCTATAATAAATAAATTTCTTTCATCATGAAAAGATTTTAAAACTAAAAGTAATTTATTTTTAAGAACTTGACTATTTTTAATTTTATTCATTAACGAAGTATTATTTTATGGTTGTATAACTTATACATTTAGGTAAATCAAATTTAACTCATATATTAATTATTTAATCAATACAAAACTAACCAAAACTTGGAAACCAAGTCTATGGTCCAACCAGGCACTTTGTCCACTTTAGGCCAATAATTAGACTTTAATTCTTTTAAATTTAAATGGTTTTTTTTTTTTTTTTCAATTAGACATAAGCTTCCCATAAAATGTCTAGCAAGTTTTGGAGGACTTGGAGATGTGAAGGGACAAAATAACTAATAATTGCATAATGTTTTTCCTTAATTTTCTTGAAATATGAAAAGTTGAAATTTATTTATAAAAAAAGTTAAAATATTAAAAAAAGTCTTTGAATTATTTTACTTTTTTAAATAAGTTTTTATATTTTATTATATGCAAATAAATCTTTATTATTTGATTTGTGTCCAAATAAACTCTTATATCAAACAAAATATTAATTTATATTAAGGGTTTTTTAGATATAAATTAAAAATTAAGAACTTATTTAGATATAAATTAAAAGTTAAAAATTTATTTACATGCAAAATTAAAATCAAGAGTTTATTTGGGTATAATAAAGTATAAAGATTTATTTAGATAAAATGATAAAATTTATAGACCATTTTTTTTATTTTAGAAAAAAAGAAAAAGTTCAAACGAAGTTGTACCATTAGTCTACAAAAATATTATACTACTAGTACTTGGAGGCAATCTCAAGGTTAGGCATTTGTTGGTTTGATCATTTTTTTCTTTTATTGATTTGAGATATGATTATGATAATTTTTTTTATTTAATTTCTTTCAATCTGAAAAGAGATATTTTGTATGAAAAGAGAAAATTTTGTCTTATCTGGTGGATTTTTTATAAAATTGAAGAATTATTCAAAAATAAAAATTAAAGAGGAAACATCAGATTTTGAGAGAATAAAATATCCTAATAATATAAAATTTTAAAACCGACTGATTTTATTTAGCAAACTTATTTTAATTTTTTCTATCAAAATAAAAGTTTCATTTATCAACTATAGTAATTCTTTTTTTTTTTTTTTAGATTTCCCTATTCGATTTTATTATTCAATGTTCGTTTATTCAAATATTTAAAATAACAATTATATCTTATATTAAAACAAACACTCAAATTCAATTAAAATAAATATTTTGTTAAGAATTCCCACTAGCAATTTTATTATTGCTGTCACTCATAATATTGCTTTCACTCGCTTTTTTTTAGTATGGTTCCACATGCAAATGCCAGGCAGTCTGATTTAATATCAAAAGTTTGAGTAGAGATAGTTTTTCGAAAGGTTTTGTGTTCGGATAATGGCGTCAGTATATCAAGTTAAAGAAATGGCTAACAAAGATGGTAGAGGACCTAATGTATGAATGTTTTTGTCAAAGTTTCAGGTTAAATAAAATGATTTTAATTTGAGAAGTTAGTATATAGCAAAGTTTGTTTCTTATATCAAATTCTATTCAGCCTCACCTATGTGATGGAGTTATTATCAATATTATAGTTTAGATAGCTTGCGACATCATCTTCGCAATCATGTTCAACCTCATAATTGAGGGTGGTTGCATTCTAAATTTGAGAGTCATAAATCTCATTCCTTATATATTGTATTTGATTCTTGCAGTGCAGCTTTAGTGAAGGGTTCAATTTAAGAGTCATAAATCCCTTTCCTCGTATATTGCATTTGATTCTTGTAACGGGTGGCCAAAAGTACAAATGAGAAAAAACCTCAAAAGCTCCAAAACAGTTCTTTACATTCTCAAACAATGTTTGCTATCAAATAAGAATGCTAATTTTGTATATTCTCATTTTTGACATTCAGCAACTCACTTGTGAAGATTTGTTTGCTTATAAAGACATTGAACCGAAGCAAATACGACGTGACTGTGAGGAAGCAAGGAGCAGTGCAGAGAAAAGGGTGATTCGGTCTGAAAAGTGTGTGATTTGACTTAGCTCACACAGAATTGACAACTTTGACAGCCACAGGCAGAGTCCATGTGCACCATTTTCTCGTGAGTTTTGGCCTGGTTCATTGTTCACGGCTAGCCAGTTGCCATATATTTGTTTGGAAGCATTTGAGCTGCCAAAACAAGTTAAATCCAGTCCAAGCAAACTTTAGGCCTGATATTTACAAACACTAGTAAATAATTATTCTGTTTACATGGTATTAAATTAATTTTTTTATTTTTTAAAATATAAATAATTGCTGTATCATCCTATTAATTTTACTTGTAAATTTTAAAAAATCATTATCAGCCTATCTGATAATCAGTAATAATAATATTGGCCTTGTTAAACTTCAACTGTTTTTGGTAAAATTTTTGTTCAGTTTTGATTAGAATTTCTTTGAGGATTTAGGGATATTTGGAACAGGTAAATTGATAGAAGAAATGACAAATAATCAATAAGTGTATGCAGAATCTTTTCCCTGATTTATCAAAAAATTAAAAGCTAAGTTGAAATTAAGACGTTGTTTGATTAACTAAAAAATTAAGTGGTGAATTTTTAATATTGAACTAATTTATGACTCATGTAATGCACAAATTAATTTTACCTATTTTTTAAATATTAATTTAATCTATTTAAATATGTACATATACGCATAAATTAGCATTTTTTTAATTGCAGATACCATTTTTTTTTTTTTATGTTTATTAGAGATTATAGAAAAATAAAAGTAAGGTAATCATCAAAATTAAAAACAAAAATAAATTTTTTCAATGGTAGATACTGTGTATTTTCTTTTTTATGTTTCTTAGAGATTAAATATTATAAACTCAGTACTATTTGCAATTAAAATAATCAGCAAGTTTAAAACAAAATATGCTTGTAACTTTATCTCCACTTCATGATTCAATATCAAATGACAATATTAAGTATATTATTGATACGATATTCAATATCAAATGTTGAATATAAGTATATTATTTGATAACTTGAAATGTTAACTAATTTTGAAAATTATTTATTTTATATTTATATTTTTATCTTGATTTTTATTATATGTTATATTATTTCATAAAAAATTATATTTTAATTGATACCTCACAAAATCAAGATATAACGTCACCTTCTTCCCTTCAGAATAATTGAGTAATTGAATTGTTAGAGTCATATCAGAGACAATCCCAACTGTTTAGTCATTTTTTTCGTTTGATCAAATCTGTTTCTATCAAATTGAGATAAGATTACGATCATTTTTTTAGTTTTTTTTTTTTAATTATCACCTTTTTTTATTTAATTTTATCATATCTGAAAAAATATTTATTTCTGGCATGAAAAATGATATTTTTGTTTTCTCAAGCAGATTTCTCAAGTTTTTATAAAATTGGAGAAACATTCAAAAATACAAGTTAATTAAAATATTCTTTTAGATTTTATTTTATTTTTCAATGTCTCTTTATCCAAATATTTAAAATAAGAACTACATCTTATCCAAAAAGTCAAACACTGAAATTCAATTAAAATTAGCTTTAGCCTTTTCAATTCCAATAAAATCCCTCCACACACCTATAAATACACGTTGACAGTGAAGTTTTTTTCACTCAAACAAAACAATAGCTTTGGTCACCATGAAGAGTTTAGTAATCTTATTGTTGTTGTTAATTGCTGTTTTTAGTATTGTTTCACATGCAAATGCTAGTGCATGGCAGCCCCGATTTGACACTGGAGGCTTAAGCAGAGATATCTTTCCAAAAGGTTTTGTGTTTGGAACTGCCGCATCAGCATATCAAGTTGAAGGAATGGCTAGCAAAGACGGCAGAGGACCTAGCATATGGGATGTTTTTGCTAAAGTTCCAGGTTAAATCAAATGATTTTAATTTTAATTTTTACTTTACTTTTTTTAAATGTTAATTTTTTTAAAATGTAAAATTTTAAAAGGATATGATTTCATATATGTAACAGGAAATATTAAAAATAATGCTACTGGTGAAGTTTCCATTGATCAATATAATCACTACAAGGTATGATTTTATATCATTTTTATTTCTTATTAATGCAAAGGCTTGGAATTTTTATTTCATTTTTATTTCTTATTAATACAAAAGCTTATAGATTTAAATTAGTCAGGCTTATTTCTTTACTCTTCTTCCGTTTGCAGGAAGATGTTAATTTGATGCAAATGATGAACTTTGATGCCTACCGATTTTCGATCTCATGGCCGAGAATTTTTCCAAGTACATTTACCATCTTCCTTGATTATAAAATTGGCATACACATTTCATTTTTTGATTAATTAATGCTTATATTCATACCTTTATGTAGATGGCACAGGGGAGGTAAACTGGAAAGGAGTTGCCTACTATAATAGATTGATAAACTACATGCTTGAGAAAGGTATATATATTAATTTCAATGTATAAAATACTGAAATTTTGGACCGGGTATATGACATATTGCAGTATTCTAGTTATATTTTTGTAACTGGATGAAATATGTTAACTTTGTTATCCATGTAGGAATCACCCCACATGCGAATTTGTACCACTACGATCTGCCAGTTGCACTTCAGGAGAGATATGGAGGTTTTCTGAGTAAACAAATTGTGTAAGTTGAGAGATAACCTCTTTTTTCAGAGGGAGAAACCATTAACTTAGAAAATTAACTAAATTGTAAAATTAATTTACTATGATATGAATCTTGCAGCAAAGATTATGCTGATTATGCAGAATTCTGTTTCAAGACATTTGGTGATAGAGTAAAGAATTGGTGGACATTCAATGAACCGAAAGTGATTGCTTCTCTTGGATTTGACAATGGCATTAATCCTCCAAATAGATGTTCAAAGGAATTTGGAAATTGTACAGAAGGAAACTCAGCAACCGAGCCTTATATTGCAGCACATCATTTGATTTTAAGTCATGCTGAAGCTTCCAAAAGATATCGTGAAAAATATAAAGTAATGATTATTTTGGAGATTCTCTCAGTCAATTGATTTCTAATCTTGATATATAATCTAATATCTTATTTTAATGATTTTAATGTGCCTTTTCAGGCTGAACAGAAGGGAAGAGTTGGTGTCTTCGCGGACTTTGTTTGGTATGAACCTCTAACAAAATCAAAGGCAGATAACTATGCAGCACAAAGAGCAAGAGACTTCCATATTGGATGGTATAAATCTCTGAATACATACTGACAATGTACAATGTAGTCATCTATGTTTTAATTGTTCAATTAAATAGAATAAATGAAACATTAGGCATCCAGGGCCCCAAAATAGCAAGCTGTCCTATGTTCTCGGATTTCATTATTTTGAAGTATTTTTTCCTGGCACATATCTGGTCCTTATGACTTATTGAAATATATAAAAAAAAATGGAACTTATCAGTACTCATTTAAGGAGGGAATTATTGTCAAATTTATTTTGCAGGTTTTTGCACCCTTTTGTATATGGAGAATATCCAAGAACAATGCAAAAAATCGTAGGAGAAAGGCTTCCAAAGTTCAGCAAAAGTGAACTGGAGATTGTGAAAAACTCTTTTGATGTTCTTGGTCTCAACCACTACACTTCTTACTACATATATGACGCACACCAGCCAAAGACAAATGTGACTGGTTACGAACATGATTGGAATGTTGGGTATGCTTGTAAGTCATCCATCTTTTCCTACTTCATTTACCCAAAAATTTTTCTAGTTGTTTTGATGATATAACATACCTGTTTGTGTTCACTCTAACAGATGAACGTAATGGTGTGCCAATCGGTCGTCAGGTAATCTTTGTGCTTTCCACGTCTTAGCTTCTTAAGCTGTGCTAACACTAATGCACCAAAAAAATTGCAGGCTCATTCTCCATGGATTTATGAAGTTCCATCGGGCATTTACAAAGTTGTCACATATGTTAAAGAGCGTTATGGAAACCCCGAAATAATTCTCTCAGAAAATGGTAAAATTGAAGTTTTATTTCTCCACTGTTTGATCTTTGTAAACCACGCAAATTTGTTCATTTGTTTGGTTGATTAATTGCAGGAATGGATGACCCTGGCAATGTTCCATTTCCTGAAGCTTTGTTTGATACAAATAGAGTGAACTACTATACAACCTACTTGAAGGAATTGAAGAGAGCTATGGATGATGGAGCCAATGTCACTGGCTACTTTGCTTGGTCAATGCTTGACAACTTTGAATGGTTGTTAGGTTATACCTCAAGATTTGGCTTGATTTATGTTGATTACAATGATCTCAAGAGATACCCAAAGATGTCAGCATATTGGTTCAGGCAGATGCTTCAAAGAAAAATAGCTTAGGTTTATTTCTTAGGTTTTTAGGCTTTTTTTATGTTTCTTAGTGCTTTTGTTTTTAGTTCTTCTGGTGTTCACAACTTCTTAATTTCATATTCTAGAGTTTCAATAATAAAATTATTGTGAGCCAAATTATTGCTGAAGCGTATGGGTTTTTTTCTTCCTTCTTCCTCTTCTCTTTTTTGTTGCCACATTGCGTAGCTATATGGTTTGAGCAGCTTTTTCCATTGCAATTGAAGAACATAGCTCACCTCTTTTATCGAATGTTCATCTTTGTTTCAAAAATCGTGGCTTGAACTCATTGAGATTTTGTAAACATGAATTCTTGTACCAAGGATACAAGGGTATTCGCAAGTACATAAACTGATGACTTTGACAAAATTATCCGCAAGCAGAAAACAATTTTAACTAATTATTAGTATTACGTACCTTGTTGAGAGAGAGGCAAGAGTTCTGCAACTGAACTTTTCAAGGCGATCATGAGTCTTTCTTGCACAATCAACCGCATCGATCTGCATAAACGGTGACATATCAACTGAACACCGCAATTTGCAAGAGTATCAGTCATCTTTATTGGTGAACCACAAAAGGATATCTTTCTACAAGCTGAAGAATTCTTCATATAATGATGCCCTTCAAGTAGATTCTTCACTTCTTTCTCCTCCATCGTCGAAATTATTTTCTTGCTATCAAGCACTGATATTTGAAATGTTGTTCTTTCTTTTTATCCAAATCCTTTGATGTTTTCCTGACCTTCTCTTTTAATGATTCTTTGGCTGTTTTATGAGGCAGGTAGTTTGCTTTGATGAGTGAAAACCAGGAGGAATCAGCATCAGCTGACAATGTCATGGCCTTGGCTTGTAAATGAATGTCTCTACTAGGTGAGCCATGTTATCTAATTGGTGGTGTTGTTGGGACAAGGCAAGGAAAGAGAGAAGGGGGTGTTCCTGGGGCTGCATGTAATGGGAGTTGTGGCTTTTGAGTGGTGGGGTTCAGGGGCTTGTGGACTGTGGTGGTGGGTTCACATGATTAGTACACCTCGCATATGTGTGATTATGATGAGCTAGGGCCATTTATCCTCTAGCATTCCCCGTAGTTGGTGATGTGTGATTGTGTTGACCGTTGACTTGACCTATTCCTCCATGGAAGGGCCAGGCCTCGATATTAACCAGTGGGTCCTTCAGAAATGGCAACGGAAGTTGGGTTTCAGCCGAACTTCAAACCATGCCTAAACATAACGGGAAATGTTATTACAAATGATATCAAAGAAAGAGAACATCATTTAAAAAAAAAAAAAAAGAGAAAATGTTATGACTTATGATCTAAGAATATTAACTTATATGCTGTGAGATTTCAAAAAAAATAAAATAATAATAATAAAGGAAGAGATATTTAAGTCGCATACACATTTGTCAAATAGCGGGGGTACAAATCAGACGAAGGAATGCTGCATAGATACAACACATTTTTATACTACCACTAAAAAAACATAAACGGATTCTGACTAATGGGGGGAATGAATGGGACAAATCTAAAGGACTAAGCATAATGATAAAACTCAAATACGCATATTCCAAGAGATGGAATCAAAGATGAGAGCGGATCAGTTGCCAAATAATTATGAAAATCAGTGAAGGCGAAGTAAATGCAAACAAGGAATACAAGGGCAGCGCAAGAAACAAAACCTGTTATTTTCTCAATAAAACGGAGAATAATTGTTACAAACAACATTAGCCTTCTCTTTCCTTCACCCTTCATTTAGCCGGTCTAAATCCCTACATGGCTACATCTATGTATCACTTACCGGAGGAAGTAACAAGAAAAATATCATTAACAATAACAGATGATTAAAAAATCGGACTAGTTGAATCAAATATCGATGATATGTCTAGTTTATAAAATCGGATTTTCAACGAAAGGAATAAAAATCGATTAAACCGAAAAAAATAAATATTTACACCGGTTTTAAGGTTTATTTTATTATTTTGTTATTCATAATTTTTTCGTAAGTGGTGAGATTTTGTCTTTAACCTCTTAATTCTACATTAAAGACATACCATAACCAAATGCATATTTTTATTAAATATTTACTATATTCAATCCTTACTTAAAATCAAAATCATGAATTTATTAATATTACAGTCTCTTTCTAAATGGATCAACCAATTGAATGAAAATCAAAACTTTTACCTGTTCAGCCTTTGGTCAATTTTAAAAACAGAAGTTCCATGAATTAAACAAATTCATCATGGAACCATGGATTGCATTACTTTCTGAACAGCCTGTGGATCTGTCTATTGGCATACTTTCAGCAGGCAATCATTTCGCTGAGAGGATGGCTGCAAGAAAGTCTTGGATGCTGAAAGAACTTGTTAAATCTTCAAATGTGGTTGCTTGTTTCTTTTTGGCAGTGGTACGTTAAGACTATCATTTATTGTTTATCTTTATTTAATTTTCAAAAAGTTTAAGAAAAATTTGATTTTATAGTATTTTATATTTAAATTTTATTTTTTATAAAATTGATGTTCATTATTTTTAATACCAAAAAATTAAAAAGTCATGAAAATAATTTTGAAAAATAAAAAAGAGAGAGTTATATGTTAAAAAAGATATAATTTTAAGATTAAAAAAATGAATAGAAAAAATAAATTTAAAATATTACATAATATAAATATAATAATTATAAAAAAAAATTGATTGCAAATTAAACTCACTGGCTACTTAAGCTAAGTAATAAAATGCTTAATAACTTAAGTTAGGAAATAGGTTCAATATTCAATAAATCAAATCTTAAAACTCAAGCTATCAAAAATCAATTGAGTCAAAGTAATTCAAAGTTATACTCCCTTCCCCTCTAATTATTTAGATATTATTTATTTTTATGGAGTTTAAGAAAAAATTTATGATTTTAATATATTTAATATTAAAATTTAAGTTTTTATAAAATTAAAATTATATCATTTTTAATGTTAAAAAATTATAAAATAATTTTAAAATATAAAAAAGAGTTTTCAATATTAAAAAATAATTTTGAAATATCTAAAAAATTTTAAAAAATTGACTAAGGGAGTAACTTAGACTTGATTTGAATTTAAACGGAGTGATAGGCATGACTAAAGATGTAAATCACGCAATTTTCGTATTTGAATGACATAGCACGATATCTCATCGTGAAACCTCATTGGTCCAATTAAAATTTTTTAACTTCAATAGAAAGATTTATTCCATTTTTAACCCTTATTTGTTTTATTTTTTTCAACTTTATTCATTTTCAATTTTGTTTTACTTTTAATTAATTATTTAAAAGTTTTTAAAATGATTTTTAAAAGATAAAATTATTAATTCTTAATATTTACTAACAGAACTATTATTTAACAGAAAAATAATATAATATTTTTAAATTTTATAAATATTTAATATTTAATATTTTATTATATAAATTTTAATATAATATTTTTAATGATCATTTTTTATTATAATTTATTTTACTATTATTATTACATTTATATTCAAATACATATCTTCACTATTAATTTTAATTTTATTATTATAATAATTAATTTCATCGAAATTAATTTTTTTGAAACCAATTTTGTTGTCTATTTAAATCTACCCTTAAATACATTGTTTGGTATTCTGTATATAAGATGAATAATTGAATATACAACTTGCGTATACTTATTTTCGGTTTTCAATAATTTTATTAGTATTAAATATAAAAGATTAAGTTGTATAATTAATCTATGTACTCGATTTTAATCCTTATATTAAATTCATGAATTTCAAATCAAAATATTTTATATTTATGAATTTTAAATTTTAATCCAATCGGTAACCCATCCAACTTTCTCATTGCTGACGTGTATTTCGATTTTGTTGATATGGCACATTAATGTTTGACTGAAATTTTGAAGGATTTTAAAAATTAAAAAATATCACGTGATTATTTGGTTTTTTAAAAATTAACGTGGCATGTTTTGGCCTTAAGCAAGTAAATTTCTGCCCAACTTGACCGCACCATAATTTCTTTCTTTTATCTATTTCTAACACATTTTATCTTTGTATTTTTTATTTAATTATTTTTTATTTCATGATTTTTTTGGAAACAAAAAACTAAAAAATTTTTTGTTTTTTAACTCATTGTATCTTGTATTTGTTTAATTTATTTTTTAATTTCATTTTTTTAACAAAAAAACTTAAAAAATTTTTTTTTGCAACCATGAGCAACATAACCATCAATGCCTAACCCTTACTTTCCCACCTTCTCATCTTTCCTTTAATTGTTACAAGACTAACTTAAACCTATTTATACGGTGCCCCCACGCCATTTGTCTCTGACCTAACTAGCTTACCAAAAAGCATAATACCTAGCTAAACAAGTGAAATCAATCCCCGGAAAGCATCTTTCTACCATGCCTATAATGGGTCGAGCCTAAGGGTCCATTTAAAACTCCAATTTGAGGATTTTTATCGTATCAAAAAAATATTTTTCGATTGAATTTTTAATAATTATAAAATATATTACTTGATGTTGTAAAAACCGTTTAACCGAACCCTTGAATTGATATTAAGTAACTGCAAAAGTTCGCTAAGGGTTCTGTTTTGAGAATAACTAGCATAATTATATAACTAATAACTCCTTAATCAAGTGTGGCTGATAGGGCATTGAAAACGTGCTTCAAAAATGGCTTTGGTTACTATAGAGATTGAGGCTGAGAGTCGAGGGGCGGTGTGGAAATTTTCCTTGTCAGCGTCACATCCTGCCCATCTCATTCCCGAGAGCACATGCTGATGGCTGAAAGCGATGGGCTTTGGGCCAATTTTCACCGTTACATCAAATGGAATTCAATCGTACGTGGCAGATCGTGAACTGTACATAGTTTCGAAGCAAAAAAGAGAACGAAGATAAGAGAAAAAAAAAGATATAAACGTGGTGAGTATAGGTGATAAAAGTTTCAAGTACTTGGGAAGAATTAGCCTTATGTAAGATTAACTTTTTTTTATTCTTTTTTAATATTCACTTAATCCTTGAGTAAAATAATAATTTTTTAATTTAAACTATCAAAATTCAATATTTAACAATTTTAAATGTAAAAAATTGATTTTACAAAAAGCAATGTGAAAAATAACTACTTGAGATGGAACATTGAAAAGTTTAGAATATCTTAAGGATAGGTCCATCTTCAAGTTGCATTTCTACCCTATTACTTTTCATAATCATATGGCAAAATGTTTTCCTAAGTACAAATGTAAGTGTAATTGAGATGCAATAACTTGGTATGTACAAGTTTTACAAACTCA